GTTACACTACTGTTTAGGGTTATGGTGAAAATTGGCGCCTGTTAAAACGTTTAAACCCGCTGCATTTGTATGTAACTGTCCTAAGTCAGGAGGAGCCTTTTCAGTGGTTATCATTTGCTGAACAGATGTGGTTCATAAGTGTTTCTCGTTTCTCGATTTTTATATAGATTAGACCGTTGGTATTCCTGTTTGAATTGTTTTACAATAGTCATTTTGTGGGCCTTTATAGCTTGCTGTTCGATGTAAGCCAATGCGCCGAGTTGAAGGCCGTACTTTGACCTATAACTGTTTACTTTTTACACATTATGACTTGGATGGAGTGATCTCTCATTGTGGCATTCATACCACATTTTCTTAATTCTATGTACAGTATGGTACAGTATGCTTTAGGTTATGGGAGATTTTACGGAATATTTTCTGCGCTTACATAATGATCTGGCTTTTGTCAAATATACAAATGGATTACCGACTGAGACAAGGACAAGGTACAGGGGAAATGTACTCATCAACAAAGGATCCGAGAGACTCCATGATCCTTACAGAATTTCCAAATCAGAATGGTTGAACGACCCAGGTATGTGCACGGCACTTGACTCAGGTATCAAACGACCAATTATCCCACTCTTTAGCACATATGTAAAAGTAACCCTTCTTTGACAACACATATTGCTTTGAAGTCATTGTTTACTTAAACTAACTAATACCGTACTTATTTAAGATTTGTAAAAATCCAGGGTTTATGTTTAAAAGTAGTTCCTTTCGAACATTAAACATTGCTTGAAAATTGGCATGTAGAAAGGTAAAACATGACTGTTTCTATAATGTTGGATTAATGTTAATTATTTAGAAACATGTCAAAATTGAAACATGTAGTTGAATAGTTAGGAATGTAAAATCATTTTGATGGTCTAACAAGCGAAAAAAAGTAAATCACACAAATCAGAAAACATGATATTAAACAGTTACACATAGGTTGTTCACTACAAAACAATTGTCATCATGAAGATTTCATGATATCAATTTATGTTTATAGTATTGCGTCATTCAACGTATTTAGCAGATACCATAGTTGAATGTAAAAACTGCATTAATTCACCCCTTTTCCACAAATGGTGTCAATTAAAACTTTTTCACCTCAGATACTATTGTCTTATAGCAAATCAAAAATGTTTCATGACCACAATTGTATTATTGATCAATACATGGTCCATTATTGATCAATACATGGTCCATTATTGATCAATACATGGTCCATTATTGATAAAAGAAGGTCGAAAGATACCAGAGGGACATAAAATCGAAAAGAAACTGACAACGCCATGGCTAAAAAGAAAAACAGATACAAAACACAACATAGAACAATAAAGACTAAGCAACACGAACCCCACCGAATTGGGTGATCGCAGGTGATAACTGATGGCCAAAAGGGGGAGCAAAATACAATAATACTTCATTACCTTTGATATTTTACTAAAATGTCAAATATCAAAAATATCGAACTCCAAGGGAAATTCAAAATTTAAAGTCCTTTTTCAAATGGCAGAATCAAAAGCTGAAACACATCAAACGAATAGAAAACAACTGTCATATTCCTGAACAGTCATTTTCTAATGTAGAAAAGGGAGAATTAAACCTTGTTCTACAGCTCGCTAAACCGCTCACATGTATGCAAGTCGCATAGATTCCATTATATTGACAACAATGTGTAAACAAAACAAGCAGACATAAAGGTTATAATGTCAAAAACTCAAGTTAAATTTTCAAATGTCGTGAGAGCAGTAGGACAAACAAGATTTTTAAGTAATTTCTATTAAAGTCATGCATTACGGTCAGTTCAAATTCAGTTTTCAATTTTGCAATATATGTCGCAGTATGACAAGATATGATTTCTCTTAATACACATTAACTAAGAATCCAAAAATAAAAGAAAAAAAACAGACTTTTGATAAAGTTTTCTGTCATTTTAGGTGTAAGACGACTAATTTAGTATAGATGTAAAATTAGCCCTGACCTGACAAAAAAGTGCAATTTAGTCGTTTTTACTTAAACTAATTATAACCAACAAAAATGCAAAAGTGAAACTTTTGGTGAGAGAAATATATCTTTACCAAAGTTTTGCATTAGAAAATGAGGGTAAATGCGCTCCATAGTGAATTTTGATTTCCATAAAACCATGGGTTATTTTTAGAAGTTGTCATCCCAACGTTGGTAATTCTCTACATTACTTTAAAAATTGGTTGAAAATTAGCATGTTAAAAGGTACTACATGTACAATTCATGGTTTCTCTGAAGTTGAACTTCAGGTAAAATATTTTGACAGCTGTGAAAAAATAAAAATTTGGTTGAAAAGAGATGAATTTGAATTGGTGGTCAGACACATTTACTTAGATGTCTGGATCTTCCTTCTTGGGAATGCTGAAACCAATGATATTGATAACCGAAAATGTATAACAACCAACATACGCGATGAGCTATATGACGACTACAACGGACCTTGAACGAATATTCAAATCAACATAAGGTCAGATTTGGCTAAGAATGTTAGAACATAAACAGATACGAAAGATATTCCTACCAAATATATGTAGCAATATACCAACTTCACTTGCATATGATACAAACATTTTCAAACTCATTCAGTATTCAAAAGCTTGAAGCTGCTACTCAGACTTTGTAAAACGTCACCAGTGTATGAGCAGAAAGTTGATGAACCAGGGGTATGTCAGGCAACGTCTCGTCTTGTTTTTAAAAGGTTCATACGAAGATACCTAGAACATGTTGATAAATATTCAACATAAAAAAAATACACGATGGTCTGGAAGTATAGGTGCTAGGTACTGATGTTGTTTATCATCTTAATAACGTATAATATACATATATATATGTAGTATGACGAACATTTTTCCCTTCTGTTTTCGTACTATGAACAACAAACTTATTCATTTTGTTAGAAGTTTTTCTATGCTCCATTTACTCCTTACAACAAATATTATTATATTTAAATTAACCTGTGTGCGTAACTTTGTTTAACGCCATTTTTTTCAAGGTTATAGTTATAAAAATAAGGAGATGTGGTATGATTGCCAATGAGGCAGCTATCTACCAAATTTTAAATGAAGTGGATGTAAGGAATTATAGGCAACTATAAGGCCTTCAACAATAAGAAAAAAAACATACCGTAAGGTCGGCTATAAAGGCCCCGACATAAAAATATAAAACAATCCTATTAAGAAAAATAACGGCATATTCTATAACAAAACAGTTTACGAAAATCACATATGACAAACATGAACCAACGACAAGTACTGAACTACTGGCTCATGACTTAGGACAGACACATACAAAATATGGCGGTGTTAAACATGTTTGTGAGCGCTCAATCCTCCCCTAAACTGGGAGAGTGATGTAACAAATCTGAGAGTACGCACAGTTACTGACAGCTAGTTCAAAACCAATTAGAACTAATAAAAAAATCATGCATCTAAGACTTAATTATCAATCAGTACACATCCAGCATCCAATGAATTTAGAATAAGACGTTGTGAACAGTCAGAGAAAAATATGACCTTGTGCAATGCAAAGATGTATGCATGTTTCACAATTCAAATCATTACTTCCTAAAGGCGAATGTAAACAAACTGCTAAGTGTTTGAGGATGACTAAAGCAGAATTTAAAATGTAAATAAAATAAAAAAAGATAACAAAGTGTGAAGATGAAACTATTAAGATTTTAGAAAGGCGTCTGGAAATGATGCAACTAAAGTTTATGTTCTACTTTTTATATTCGTGCGTCACTGATGACTCTAAGAAGGCCAAACACTTGTGCGGCGTTACACATTTATATTGTATTTTGATGAATTGGTTTACTTGCATTGATTAACTTTTTTAAACGTTTGGTTTCGGAAGTATATTTTAGAAACGAACGATACTGTCACATCATTTTAACCCTTGTGGATAGCCGTCTAATTGGCAATCATACCACGTCACCTAATTTTTATAGAAATGTAGCATGATCAACATTTGATTATCCCCCTTTTACCAGAAATATCTCAAATAAAATACGACTCGAAAATTTAAGATTCTATTATAAATGAGGTAAAGTATGTCTTGTGCCAGAAGTCTCTATTTGATATAAACTGTAATTAAGCATAACATGTCGTCCGAAAGTAAAGAATCGAGCGATTCATGATGAAGGAAAGTGCGTCGTGTAAACGAAATTCATAAAGTGTTTCTCTCTCTCTCTCTCTCTCTCTCTCTCTCTCTCTCTCTCTCTAAGTTTATATAACCAGAAAATACTTGGCAGATGCTCTATCGAGTTTCTACAAATCAATTAACAAAAGTGTGTTTTTTCTATTCAAAACGAGTTATTGAAGTGTATTCATGAATATGAAACGCATAATGATATTACTATAACATTTTACCTACTAAAAATGTAAGATTAAGGTATAGCATTTATTCTCCGCTTTCCTGTTAGATAACTAATTGTTCGCGCTGCTTGTATACTCTAATCTGCAATTAAGTAAAAATTCAAATATATTTCCGAATCTTTATTCATTTCGTTAAAGTGAAAAACGATAAAGCCTTTGATCGTTTCAAATATATTCGTTTGGTGACGGAAACCCCAATTGTCTACTGATTGCTAAAGGAAGCATATCATCATACATTTTTTTTTCTTTTCTTTTCTAAAATTATATACGTGCAATCTCATCTTTAACAATGTAATGCTGATTGTTTGTTATTCCTGACCATAGCCGGTTCTGAAGTTGGTTTTGTTTCAATTCACTGGAAATTATTCACCCAGATGATAAAATCGAAAGATTCCACACATTTAGAGTTACATAAATTTAGTTTTAACCAGTTCACGAAAAAAGAATGAAAATGTGTTACTATTATTTTATGCTTTTATGCTTTCAAATATTAACGTTTCGTTCGCTGAAATATTTATGTGCAAAAAAAACCTTATAATTATAGCATTCAAAATTCATATTTTACATGTTGTACTAGTGGCACAGTATCTATTATATTAGTAAATAGTTTTTTGTTTCGATATCTTCCTTTTTTCCTTCTCTTATTTCTTTTTAAGATGTCAAAATCGTTTACCAATTGAATCTATTTAAATGATTTTGTTGTCTTACATCCTCGTTTTTTATTCTTTGGTTGTCATGTGCATCATTTTTCTTTGGCTCCTGCTTCACCTGCAAGTATCAATATACTTGAATTGTAATTAGTATTTAATCGTGAATATGTGGTTTTGCTCATATAAAAGAAAAGTAAAATCACAAAAATACTGAACTCCGAGGAAAATTCAAAACGGCAAGTCCCTAATAAATGGCAAAATCAAAAGAACAAATCGGCTGAATATTTGTATGTTAAAGTGACTATATCAAAATTTGGTCATCTTTGAAAAAAAGCGGTTTCCTTTGTTGATCTATTAAACTATGAAAACAAACGTGATTTATTTTCTTGGACTTAATTTAAGAAATAATTGATGCGAGCTATACTTTGTTGTAGTTTTAACATGGGTAGGCATTATATTTGTGACTATTTTTGCCCGAGCGATAGTGTTAAAACTACAATAAAGTATAGCTTGCATCAATTATTTCGATTCTGATTAGGACAATTACGGTAATTTCTATTTCCGTATAAGTGTAGAGCGTTTGTGTAGGATCTTCTATGAACCTCCCTTTTTTGTTTGATTACAACCATACGACATGCAATGTGTTTTTTTTTCAGAGGGAGGTTGTTTTTTAACAGCCTACATTAACGTTGCCGTATCTAGGTCAAATATGTCAACTGCGAATTGCAACACATTGTAGTCATTGTATATGTATTTTTTAACGGCATTTGCATCATTTAAGAGTTTGAAAGTGTTTGATGTGAATGAAATATATTATGTGCATGCATATTTGATAAAATTCAATTTCTGCAGTAGTCAATATACGCATGTGCAAACAAATTTTATTGAATTTCGAGCATGGGTTTGTTTACAAAGCAAAAGAAGCACGTCATATTAGAATTACTTTATACTGTATAGAATATTGTAAATGAATCAAATAATACAGTAAAAGATAAGTAAATTTGAGTGTTTTGTCAAGTTTAAGTAATTTGAAAACTCAATTTTACAAAAAAAAAACGTTGAATATGTTTTATTTAACTTGAACGGCTAAGTTTTTCTCTAAAAGAAGTGAGCTTGAACTTAAAAACAAAATCCTTTATATTAGCAAATTCTTCATAGATAATCCGATTTTGAATTATTGACTTCACAGAAACTAATTCCCCGATATTTTCCCGTATGCATTGACCTTAACTTCGATACTTCTCGTTATCCACAGCACAGCGCAAGTGCAGGGGAAACCTGAAGAAAGAATATAAACCCATTTGCCCTTGAAGGTAAATAGATATAACAGATTATTATAGAGCGAAGGATTAGGTTCATTAAGACCCGCTTTTGGTCCCAAAATATAGCAGTTTTACAAAATTGTTAAAATGTAAGCTTTTAGCTATTTATTGGAAAGTAGAATACTTCTGTTACATAAATATGGGCTGTTTATCACAATACAATGCACATGTATCGGGTACTAGCATCATAAAGTCATGCTAAATTACTGAAATCTTCACAATTTTACCATTTAAGTTAATTTTTAGACGGTTTCCGCCTTAAATTGATGTGGCCGCATTTGTGTTCATTCTTAATATTTACATGTAAGTTGTATTTGATGATAATACATAACATATTTAAAGGTTGAGGATGAACACGGATGCGGCCACTTTCATTTTTGACAAATACCATCTGAAAAGTGACATATTAACGCATATTTGATAGATTTTTAATATTTAAGCTTGAATTTGAGCTCTTTCAAGATTAAATCAGTTTAAATCTTTCACATAAACTAATTGAATCTACTAAAGTAGACACTTAAATGTTTAAAATGAGTCCAAAATCTGAAGTTTAAGGCCAAAATCGGCCCTTACCGGACCTACTCAAACATATCATTTAACAACTGTTTAGAAATATTTAATTTAATGAATTGGAACACACTTCTGCAAACAACTCTTAAGTTAATTAGCTTGCGATCAACAACAAATGAATGAAATATCATTTGTCAAAAACACATTATAGATGTGTAATAAATACAAAACAAAACGTGCATGCATTGGTTCAATAATTTTGATAACATTAAAATTTCAAGAAACTCGTTTCATATCACTTTATTGAATTATGCAACGATCAGTTTTTGTCATAGTAAAGAATTTGATCTGTTAGCTAAATTCAATTGTCTTAAAGAGAGGCGATAAATACCAAAGGGACATTCAAGCTCAGAAGTCCGATATTAACTCATAAAACCATGGCAAAAAGGGTAAGAGATCAAAGGAAACATTTTATATATTATATCATAATTTCATGTAAGATTTAAAATTGTCGTATATGTATGTTGGCGTTTGTTTTTGTATCAGTTCAGTATTTCTTTTATTCCGTTATCTTCCTCTTACAGTTAATGTCTTTCCCTCCGTTTTTGTTTGTGACCCGGATCTGTTTCAGTTAAATCGATTTATGCCTATTTAACAGCGGTATACTACTATTAAAATTGAGAATGGAAATGGGGAATGTGTCAAAGAGACAACAACCCGACCATAGAACAGACAACAGCAGAAGGTCACCAACAGGTCTTCAATGCAGCGAGAAATTCCCGCACCCGGAGGCGTCCTTCAGCTGGCCCTTAAACAAATATATATACTAGTTCAGTGATAATGAACGCCATACTAAACTCCAAATTGTACACAAGAAACTAAAATTAAAAATAAACAAGACTAACAAAGGCTAGAGGCTCCTGACTTGGGACAGGCGCAAAAATGCGGCGGGGTCAAACATGTTTATGAGATCTCAACCCTCCCCCTATACCTCTAGCCAATGTAGAAAAGTAAACGCATAACAATACGCACATTAAAATTCAGTTCAAGAGAAGTCCGAGTCTGATGTCAGAAGATGTAACCAAAGAAAATAAACAAAATGACAATAATACATAAATAACAACAGACTACTAGCAGTTAACTGACATGCCAGCTCCAGACTTCAATTAAACTGATTGAAAGATTATGTCTTCATCATATGAATATCAGGCACAATCCTTCCCGTTAGGGGTTTAGTATCATACCATCATAACATATATGAGAAGAACATAACCCGTGTCATGCCAACAACTGGTTTTTAAATAAATGTGTTTAGTGCCGATTATTGCCTTTATTTACGCTTTCAGATATTACTGTTTCTTGCTTTTACATATTTTCGTCTTTAGAATACTTCATGATTATTCCCCGAAACAAGCTAAATATCATGATATATTTATAAACTACTCGTGTCACCTTCGCTACCATACATTATTCACTAGTTTCCGGTGAATGTATCAACAATAACAGAAGATACATTTTGAGCTAAGATTTATCTTTTTGTAGATTCTTTTTCTTAGGTCTTATTTTGGTTTCAAATCAGTTATCGATTAGATCGATGTGTATTATATTTAATTGCTAATGTTGTCTTACATTCTCCTCCATTGTTCTTAGGTTGCCAGTTATATCATTCGTGGTATGCATGTCATTTCTCTGAAAGAATCAATGCACCTGGACTAAATGTCAGATTGCCAATTTAAGTCGACTCAATTCGAGACAGTATGGTCAGCTATAAAATATCCCTACATGAAAACTTATTTGACATGCTAAATAGGGCATTCGAAATCCTATATGATTTCTTCGAAATGCTATACAATTTATTCGAAATGATATATAATTTTCGAAATCAAATAGAATATAGCAGATTTTTACGGGATATTGAAATATTTTATAAGATTTTAATTTTTATTAACCTGATGCAACAAACCAATGAATGAATGAAACTGTTATCATGCAGTATCTGTACAAAGCTACATATTTTCCCAATTTTTTTATTCACTTCCTTGTTAAAACCTGACGTATTTGATTTGCACGTTTGTGTAAAAAAAAATGTAAACTCAATTGGCTTGCAAAACATGCATTGGTTGTGGCTGGTGTGTCAGACCCTTTGTTTAATCACTTCAAATATTACATATTACTATTTCTTTCTTTTAAATAGTTGTGTGTCTAGATCACATGGTGGTATAGCAAGTATCAAAAGAGGGGCGAAAGATACCAGAGGGACAGTCAAACTCATAGATTGAAGATAAACTGACAACGCCATGGCTAAAAAAAAGAAAAAGACAAACAGAAAAATAATAGTACGCAAGACACAACATAGTAAACTAAAGACTTAACAACATGAACCCGACCTAAAAATGGGGTTGATCTCAGGTTGTCCGGAAGGGTAAGCATGTGGCACCCTTGGTTTGCTCACGTTATTACAAACTCGGTATATAGTCTAATTCGGTAGGTCACATTCGTGAAAAGGAAACGGGGTTGTAGTTACAAGGTAGTCTCGATCAAGTCAATGGCAGTCATGAGTGTGTCAAACGATTATACAAAATATATCAAACCAAAATTTACTTTTTTGTCAGATATGGAAATGACAAATAATAAAATATTTTCTTTTATTTATCTAATCGTATACAGTTGTCAAATTCGGTTATCATTTAATGTATTTGATAATATTTAAATAATTGTATTATCTTACAGTCAAATAATTTCTTTTTTCATGATGATTTCTACTCTGCTCTTTATCTAATTGTTGTTTGGCCTGAAATTATCAATACACCTGAATTGGAATTATAATTGAATTGTCGATAATATTTTTGTTGAGATTCAAATCTAAAAATATATACCCTTTCTTCCTGCTTCCATTGCTTACCAAATCATTTCAATGAAATAAAACTATAGCAACTGTCACACAAGTTGAATGTTAAACAAGATATAAAGTTTTTATTCTTTCCGTTCATTGATAAAGTTTAATGTAGGATTTTCGTTTCATTGACTTCCTTTTTTAATTTATTTTTGGAGTTCGGTATTTTTGGTAATACTTTTTTCAACAATTATATCAATTCATTTCATCAAATGATTTTATTGTGTTTTGTTTTAAAAGGCATTTTCTATTCATTTAGTTTATGTTTATTTAAGTTATTTTGTACACAAATGATGTTATATTATATATAGAGAATATTATATGGAATTTTCAATATCACATCCGTATTAACCCGAGATACGAATAGAATCCCAAGAGCTCTGATAGTGTATATTATAATAAAGACTATTCTTCTTCTATCTAGTTTTCATAATTGTCATTTCAGAATTGTGGTTAATCATTCTTGAACGGTCAACTCATGATAAATAATTTAGTGTAAACGACGATTTTATGAATGTGTATAAGTTCTTTGGCTTATTGTCCTTTTATCATGTTTATAAAACATAAATTGACATAAAGTTAAACTTTTTTGTCGGATTTCAAGATATAAATTGATTGTTTTTACAATGTAGGTATAAAATATTGTTTTCTCCTTAATTAGTTTGATAGAATTTAACTGATAACTGCCTTACACTCAAAGAACTTGGTTTTATAGATCTGTATATATTCTCCAAATTGATATCTCGTGCGACCTGAAATTATCAATAAACTTGAATTATTTAATTGTCATTAAAAGTTTCGTGTAGATGTAAATGCTTATTTACATGTTAAAACGCATCATAATGCTCGATTGCCAATAAGCATCTTTTCAAACAATGAAAACAATTGAAAATCTTTTTTATTCTAAAAAAACATATTATTGTTATGAAGGCCACTTGAAATATTTAGCTGATCAACGTACAGAAATATTCATTACAACATTAAGTCATTGTTATCATTTTGTATCGTGCATTTGGTGATTAAGGATGTTCGCCTTACCAAGTTGTATTTTTTTTAAATGACTGTTCTAAAATAATAGTATATCAATGAAGGAACTTGAAAAGCAAAATAAATTATAACGGAAATTGATTCTCTTTAGATTTTTTTTATATATTTAGCATAAGCATTTATTTTTTAAAAAATATGAAAAAGAAACAAGGATCTTTTTAAGATTTTCAAAAATGATTCTGTAGACTATTTGTCATGAAATTAAGAAAAGAAAATCAGGGGTTAGCGGGCATAATGTTTTATTTACCTTACATGGATAAATCTAGAGGATTCCGAAAATTTCACAAAGAGTCAGAAACGAAAATAGCGAACATCATCAACTATTTTTTAAACGTTCAATTCATGATGATCAATTCGGACTACAATACTACAATATGTACGATATTTTATAACACAGTATGGTCATATAAATCTAAATCTAACTATGTGGCTACCAATCTATCTTTTCCTTTTATGTATGTTCAAAACTTGATATCGCTGCAATGTGTTACCTGATATTTTATTCATTTTGTTATCTTACATTTGAATTGTTTGGTTTTTCAGGAAGTGGTCTTTTCTTCTTTTTCTTTCCAAAAAACTCATGTGTAACCTGAAATTATCCATAAATTAAGACTACAATAAGCTACTCGATGATCAGATCTCGTATATCGATTCAGAATAGACAATGTGATGGTAACAAGGAAGTCACAAAAGGTGCGAGAACGATTGCGTTGACATGGAATTCAAAGCTTCTTCCGTTATTTATTAATCATCATTCATGCGAATTCCCTCTCAATAGAAATGTCACAATCGGGAATAAGACACAACCGGTTAAATAAGAGATAAAAACAAAAATTTACCACGAAAATATGTCTCGAGTGATTTGAGACACCGACATATTATATTTGCCAACCAATTTGTGATGGTGACTGTTTAATATTTAAGTATGAAAAAAGAAGAGGTGGTGTTATTGCCAATGAGAACCATTCACAAGAAACCAAATGACACAGAAATGAACAACTATAGTTCACCGTACGACTTCAACAATGATCAAAGCCCATACCACATAGTCAGTGTTGGTTTATTCTTTCTTCCTTAAAACTCTGCTGCATTAGTTGTGGGCGCAAACTCCTGTTCACGAAGTCCTTAAAATGTGAGCATGCACCAGCGAAGTGTTTAGCAGAGATAAGTAAACACCATACGATGGAGCAAAGTGTATGTTACTGCTGTGAAATGGGAAGTTGAAAATTGGAAAGTAGCAAAGAACTTTCTCTACCTCCATGACAAATATAGTGTTGTCCCGCATATATAGCCCCCAACAACATTGTTCTAAATAGATATAAGAAGATGTGGTATGAGTGCCAATGAGACAACTCTCCATCCAAGTCAAAATTTATAAAAGTAAACCATTATAGGTCACAGTACGGTCTTCAACACGGAGCCTTGGCTCACACCGAACAGTAAGATAAGACTCTTGAATGTAGCAAATGGTTTAGAGTGGACTTTAAGATACTTTTTAGCCAGTTGATGTTACAAAATGTCCTTCATGGCTTCCATCAACATTACATTGAACATCGAATCGGAGTACTTACCTGGTTTGTATTGGATACGTAAGCCTCACAAAATTTCGTACAAACATTGCAAATCATCTGCATGTTCGACGAAGCAATAATCGATTAGTCTGACATAACTCTGTTCGCAGTGAAAAAGGGTCTTCGGATATAATGTGAAACTGTTTACTCGCGTCGTGGTATTAAACATACGAAGATTCTAAAAATCTCTAACGATCTTCTGGATCATTCTAAATCTCGATCTCTTTCTAAAACTTTTGACTTTCAACCCTGAATACCACCATTCTACATGTGATATTGAATTGGTTAAGAATTTTTACATCCTGTCATTATGTTATTGTGATATGGTAAATTTTTGTATTTTTGTCTTTCGTTTTTGCTTGTGTACTTTGTCTATATGCCCGTTGTTTTTCTTTGTTGAATTATTTGTTTACTCTTATAGTGATTAAGATTATAACACAATGTAGACTGCTGTACCCCGTTTTGACATTTTTACCTTTTATGTCAGTTTGTTTTGATCACATATTGTTGTCAATATAATGGACTGTCATATAAGTTAGAGGTTTAGCTAGCTATAAAACAAGGTTTAATCTTTACTTAAGAAAATGCCCGTAGCAAGACATGAATATGACTGTTGTTATGCTTTCGTTTGATGTGTTTTGGCTTTTGATTAGCTATTTGATTAGATACTTTCGTTTTTTAATTTTCCTCGAAGTTCGGTATTTTTGTTATTTTACTTTTTTCTCTCGTTTGGTTAGAATAGGTTGGAAAGTTTCAGAGGGAAGAATCTCTTTTTTTTGTTATTTAACATTATACCTAGTTTTATCATGTATTAGTTTCAAGTATCATGACCAATAGCACCTAAAGGGGCGTGTTTTGTCAAAATTGAAATATCGGGTTCAGTAAAATATATACCGTGTATAATATTTCTTCAGCAATTGGAATTTTTGTATTGGTTACTGTTGTCACACGCTGAAGTTCTGTCTCATCTGAAATTATCAATTCATCAGTATCAAAATAAGTATGTAATGAAATTTTAGGTAGATTTTTTGTTAAAATGTATATCTCAATATCACAGATAGCCAATATATACAAACTATTAAATTCCGTCATTAATTTTAGAAACAGGTTTTGATTGCCCTATTTGGTTATTAAAGAAACAATGTATTCATTATTTTCAAGAAAAAAGGATAAATTGATAGGAAATTTTAAAAGAGACCAACTAACAGAGGAGAATATCTTTAATAAGTCGTGCATACTTGTAATAAAACGATTGCAAGACATGCATCAGAGTTAAAACCAATCAAACTTGTGCAAATGAAAAGAATATGACATTTAGAAGTCATCCATCAATCAATACATCTTTAACGTATTGATAATGACGTATTGACTTTGGTATTTAATATAACATAAATAGTAGTTATCTCACCTCAAGGTTGATGAGACTGCATATTGTTTTTTTTTTCTATTAATGGTTACTTCTTTATGGTGTATGAGGTCAAAATTTCTTTTCAAAAACTAGAGGTCAACTCTTAGCTTACTGTTTGAAATTATCATTGATATTGCCATTCTATAAAGTATTATCTTTTTTGAATTTCCACTTGAGTTCGGTATTACTATTATTCTACTTTGTACCTTACATACATTCGAATAGAACATTTATTTTAATATTTCAGTAGCCTTTTTATACTACAAAAACGGTCTAGAATATAAAAAAATACAGCATCAAAATAATGAGATGTGAATGATTGTCAATAGAGTGGCGTTGAATTCAAGCACTTTTAACGTTCAATGTACGCCTTCATAAAGAGTAAAGCATTTATCTTATAACCAGCATTGACAGGCCTGATATTTCAAAATATAAAACAATTATAAGTTCTCCTTTATTGATTTATGACAAAACAATAAACAAAAAACAAATGGACATCTTCGACAAGTATTATAATGGAAAATTACCAATAATCGTATGAAACTAATTAAGTTTGTATGATATTGAGTTGTACACATATTTTTGTTTGGCATATATTGTCAATTAGTTAAGATATATTCTTAATACTTAAAGTTTAAACTTGTGTTGATATTTTACAAAGATTATTTTTCATCTCTTCAATTTTTCAAAAATATTCAAAACCCTACTTGACATTTTCTATCATGCGCTGAACAATCCAGCTTTTACGAAACCAACATCGTTATTACTCATTTCTTAAAGAAGTAGAGTTCTTAGAATGTACTTTCATTTTGGTTTGTATAGATTTATATATCAAAAGTTCAGTTATCAATACATGTTTAATTTGAAAATAAAATAATTTCTTTTTAAAAACCACTTTTAATACGTCTAACATGAGTCAATGGTATTATAAACATTAATGGGATTCCTGGTAGATGTATAACCAACTATCAATACGGTAGAATAAAGTATACGCAATGCTTTTGTGTATTACAGGACATCACGCTATATACTAATTACTATGATTACTCGTAGATTAGCATTCTAATCTGCATTATAACTTAAATAATTAAAATTGTAATATTTTGTGACAGTATTATAATAAATTTGTTTGTCTGCAACATTACCATTAAAAATTTATATAACGCAATTTTGAAAAAAAAACACTTCAATGAGAAAAGCCATTTACTTGACGTGCTGTAACCATGTCGTTTCTATATGTATGTGATTCCAAATCAGTATGTTCAATATAATAATTTTTTTAAGTGCGTAAAGCTGGTATATATTAATAAAGAAAAGTAAGGTCCTGAAGTACAAAGATAAGGGAACGGTAATTTATTAATTTTATCATTAGTTTTACTAAACAAAGAGTGCAGATGTGTGTTTAATGTCGTTTATTGTGTCTGCTCATCTTTAAGCCTATTCAAGTAAAACCAGAAATTGAATTTGTTGTTCCTTCTATATGCCTTTTTGTATTTCTTTGTTGACATATTTGTTTGTTTTACAGTGATTAAGATTTTAACCCAATGTTGACTGCTGTTCCCCTATTTTCGACATTTTACCTATTATAACTGTTTGTGTTGTTCACTCCTCGTTGTCAATATAGTGGAAATTTTAGCAACTATCATGCAAGTGAGAGGTTTAGCTAGCAATGGACCAGGATGAATCCACAATTTTCTAAATATTAAAATACCTTTACCAA